TGTGAGGAGTTGGGCTACAGGCCGACGACGGCCCTTTTCATGAATCTGTATCAGATCGGCCGAGGAAGCCACAAAAACTGTGCGGTCTATGCTACTCTTCAACAGCTGCCGAAGAAGAGGAGCTTCACGGACTTGCCTACGTCCATTCATGGGTGGAAGAGCAAGTTCGTTTTTGTGTCCCTTGGTGAGAGTGGCACCGAGTTTCCCTCCCTCGGCCATACCGGGAGGTTTAATCTGCATGACCCGCCGAAGAGCTCTATCTTGGACGCTCAGGTGGAGGCTTTCCTGGAAGGGGGGCCGAGGAGCGTGAAGGATTATATCACTGAATACAAGATGACCGCCCTCGGCTTCTTGAGATACCATGTGTATGGCGATAAGGAGGATGACCTCCAACTCTGGCCGAGGATGACCACCACCTTCGAGGAGGCCGACGGCCCGGACTTGGGCATTCCTGCTGAGGCCGATGGTAATTATTTCTTCGGCTTTCTGTCTTTATGATTGGTTCTTTTGCCCTGCTAATCTGTTGTTTTTCCTTTGTGTAGATTTTGTCATGGACCGTCGCTCCATCATGGCTATAGCAAAGGCCAAGGCGGCCGAGGCGGCCAGACGTGCCGCGGCCGAGGGAAGCGGGGCTACTGCTGGTGCGGCCCCAAAGCCTGCCCAGTCGAAGAAGAAGAGGCCGGCCACTGACGGCCAGAAAAAATTGACTGAGACCGGCCTGAACATCGCCAAGAAGACGAAGAGGGCACCGTCTCCTTCCCCTGCTACCGAGGCCGGTACTCTGACTGTCCCGAGCGTGGACGATAGTGGTCCCCTCGTGGACCTTACTGCTGCTCCAAGTGATGCCGCCCAATCGCTCCCTATCGTCCAGGAGCCACGGACGAAGAGGGCTGGCAAGGAGATCGCCGCTGCCACCTACCAGAAGGTGGTGGAATACCCCGTCGACGGGGGTGTGTTTGACGATGTCGTCCTCGGCCACGATGTGCTGGCCCAGGCCATGCCGGCCAAAGATCGGGCTTACCTCAAGAAGCTCGGGGACGTGAAGGTGTACGAGGGCGGCATGGACCTCCTCGTCCAAGTAAGTTCTCTGCCTTGTAATGTGTAATTTTTCTCGTCGTCCGTGTAGAGTTATTTGTCTGAGTCTTGGTTTGCCCCTTTTTTTTTTGCAGAGTGCCTTTATGCTCATGGAGAGCCATAAGAGGCAGTACCGGGAGATAGCTCGTTTGAAAGAGCTGGAGCAGAAGGCTGCCTCGGCCGATGAGGCGGTAGCTTGCCTGGATCGGCTCCGGGAGGATGCCAAGGCTTTGCAGCAAAGGGCCAATGAAGCCGCTGCAGCCAGGGACGATGCCCTGGCCAAGCTCGAGGAGAGCCAAAGGGCGCTGGAGGCCGAGCGGCGCAAGAACGAGGAAGCCGTGAAGGCGAAAGCTGAGGCCGAGGCCGCCGCTGTGAAGGCTGCTGATGAGGCCGTTGAGAAGTTCCTGGCCGAGGGGTGGAAGGCCGATGAGAGGCTCCCCTGGTGCTATGAAGTGGTGGCCGCCAGGCTTGAAAATTGGGGGATGAACTCCCCCGCCGGCCAGGAGTATTTCAGTAGGGAGATGGCCGTTTACTATAACATGGGCCAGGAGCGGATGCAAAGGCTCCTGTGTCGGCGGCTATCTCGTGCTCTGAAGGCCATGAATTACACATCTGGGTGGGCTAGACGGAACTTGAAGCTTCCAAAGCTGATGAAAGATCCTGAAGAGCAGGCCAAGCTTCCTCTGTCGGAGCGCGAGTCCCCCATTGAGAGTTCCGGCCTCGGCGAGCCGGATTACACCGAATTTGATTTCCTGGACGATGCCACCAGTGCTGCAGCTGCCGTCGGCCAGGAGACTGAGGCCGAGGAGGGAGCCGACGACGTCGAAGAGCCAGCCGCGGATGGAGGTGCCCAAGAGGCTTGATCGGCTACTCCCTGATCCCTTGTAATTAGCTTTTTCATTTTGTGCCCAATTGATGTAATGGCCGAAGCGCCCACAATTGTAATGAACTGATTATGAATGAAATTTTTTGCTGTCCTGCTCGGCTATGAATTCCTTGTATGCTAATTTCCCTTTGCCATTTCAATTCTGAAATTTGTCTAAGTGTCAAAGTTACAACTTGGGTCACCCGCGAGTGTCCGCTACGTCCGTGGGGTAGTCCATCCTGTCCGTGGGCCTGGTCGGCCTGTTCGTCGTTGCTTTACTATCATAACACTTAGGATTTTTTTTTAAAAAAAATTTCCTAAGTGTTTTGGGTTCACTTAGCTGCTTTCTTCCTGGTCTGGTGGATTGGTCGGCCTGGCCGTCGTTTCTTTACTACCATAACACTTGGGATTTTTTTCAAAAATTTCCTAAGTGTTTTGGATCCACTTAGGTGCTTTCTTTCCGGCCTGGTGGCTTTGTCGGCCTGACCGGTGTTTCTTTGATGTCTTAACACTTAGGATTTATTCAAAAATTTCCTAAGTGTTTTGGATCCACTTAGGTGCTTTCCTTTCGGCCTTGACCGTGGTGTCCGCTCCGTCCTGGCGTTGTCCCGTTCTTCTTTTTGTTGGAATTTTTCTAAGTGTCTAACTTCAAGTGGATGAGTGTTCTCATCGTCCTGGCATTGGATTTCTCATTGTTGACAAATGCTTTGGGAGATTTCCCAAGTGTTTGAACCAGTGTCGTTGTCGGCCTGCATCCTTGTGTTGTGGTCGATAAGGGCACCTCCACCTTACTCTTTTGAACTTAGAATTTTTCTAAGTACATATGCAAGGCGTAGGTAGCTAACAGCCTTGAAATATACAGGTACCCGCTTCGTCTAGAGTTCCTCCCTTTAAGTACTTAGAGATTTTTCTAAGTATAAATGCGTCATAGTGCCCTCTGTGCGGTGCCGCTGCCGGCTAAGAGATGGCCCTACCATCATCGGCCAAGGTCTGGCTTGTGGCCGATGAGCGTGCCCTTTGCTTCTTGGGGATGGCTCTTCCTTCGTCGGCTAGCCATAGTTCCTTCTTGGGGAACCTTTTTTTCTCAGAATTTTCTCTAAGTGTTTTGTAAACACTTGAACAAATTCCCAAAGAACTGTCGCTTGACCAACACCCTTGGTTCCAGTGCCTGTATCGGCTATCCGGGATGTTGTGGCAAGTAGGGATTGTTTCTTGATTGCTTGATTCCTCCGTGGGTGTGATAAGTGCTCGCTTCGTCCTGGTCATCCTCAGGATTGTGATTCTTTGTTTCATACCAAGCGTTGGTGCTTCAAAGGACTGTGGCCGATGAAGGCTACCTCTCGCGTGTCACCCAACCGATTCGGTTAGGGTTTTAAAGGCGTATGTTTCGGCCTTGACCATTCCCTTGTGGTGCGTGGACGTGTCGTCCATGTTATCTGTTAGTGGTACTGCACTTGTGTTCAACTGATATGTACTTGGCCAATTTGGGCCTGAATTGTGGGGATTTTATTTTTCATTGCTCGAGGCCGGCTAGTGTGCGCGGCCGTCGGCTTCCCTCTTTTTCCCTTGTATATATATATATATATATATATATATATATATATATATATATATATATATATATATATATATATATATATATATATATATATATATATATATATATTTTCCGGGGAGTATCCTTCTTTCAGGCTTCGGCCGAAGGGTGTGCTCGTCCTTCGGCCGGTTCGGACTTCGTTTATAACGTCCGTGATCTCAGGGCGGGTCCCGTCGCCTATTTATGACGCGGGCTAGACTTTTGGTCGGTTTCCAACGGCTGTCGTTGCCCATCCCTGAGTTTTGGGATTTTGTCACCTCGGCCATGATTTCAGGCCTGTCGTCCTGCGATTAAATTATTACTGAACGGATTAAAAACTTCTAAAAATAAAATATAGGTAGTAGTTCGTAAATGAACTTGTGATTGGTAGGGTTTTTTGGCAGATTTTTTCAAAATTGACAGGGATTTGGGCACGAAGATGCCAAATCTGTGCAAAAAACAGTTTGGCAAGACCTATTTGGCACGAAATTTTTGGTAAAATAAGTTAGGGAAAATTACCTAAATAATAAAATTCATACCTAAAATAAAAAACTCAGCCAAAATAAGAAATGAAAGACGGATACAGGGGAAGGCGTAAAAGCGGTAGATTTAGTTTAGTGAAATCGGACGGTTGACAGGAACCATTCGGGTGAGCGGGAATTTTTTTAGAGGTGTTGTAGTGCTATTAAGGAGAGGATTTTTCCACTAGTGGTGAAAGAAAGATAAACAAGGGAACAAAATCCTTTTTTTAAAATACATTTAAAAAAAAATCCAAAAATAGTTATTGAGTCGAGCATAATTTTGTTCATCTAGACTGAAGCCCAACTATAATGGTTGCTTTTAATAATCCACCCTAGATAGATGCCACAAAGAGAGTTAATAATCTAACGATATTAAAATTATAAATAATTTTGAAGAACAGTCTTTTTCATTCATTTAGTTAGTTTCCAGATTGAGTTTTAAGCTAAAATTTTGTGCAAATAATCTACACTTCACGAAGAAGTTCTCAAAAATATTCATCAAAAAACACCTCAAATAGAGGCAACTAGATAGTAGTTCCCGTTGGATACTACTATAACACTTCCTCCGTCCCTCAATTAAGTTCCCGGTTTGACTTTACACATATTAAGAAAATAAATTTGACTTTACACTGGAGTGCACTGTTTTGCACTGTTCAAACACTGTTTGAACACTGTTTGACACTTTTTCGCACTATTTGACATTGTTTTGATTAGATAATTTGTCAAATAAAGAAAGTAAGGAAGTGTGAACTTAATGGCTAGTGGTAACTTAATTGGGGGACGGAGGGAGTATATGGACACAATATACTTCGGACTTGCCACCCAAATTCAATGGCTATCATCACAACTTTCAGATTGATTTTTAAAGAAGTGATATACTACCTCCAAAAAAAGGAAATGTGTAAGAAATGTTGTGAACCACAATTTTTTTACTAAAAAAAGGAAAGTGGAAGTTTTAATTGGAACGAACGAAAAAAGAAAGTTGAAAGTTATAATAGGAACGGAGGGAGGGAGTACAACTTTTAACTGATACGGACATGGCTGAAACTTGAAAGTTCCAAAATCATTTTATATATGATACTATGAATACATACTCATCATGGCCCGGTTCATTTCATGCGACCCATAGAGCCTGCTTTAGCATGAGAGTGAACCCGTCCAATCCCATGCCCTTGCAGACGCAACGGGCCATGAGTAGCATGAAACAGAACTGTAAGACAGTAGGGAGAGCCAAAAAAGTCTTAAGTCGTAGTCTGCCAAATATTAATATTACAAATAACAATTAGGTGGTGTGTACTTTTTTCTAACAGTTAGCAGTAATTTTGGACTGATTAATATGCCAAAACCACATGATCATCCTCAACACAATTGCGGGCGGCGTAATTAATCACCTAGCTGCCACAGCATCAGTTATGGGACTTGCATCAAGGAGCTGATGGAGCTTTGTTCTTGAGTTGCTCCCACTTCTCTCATACACTTCGCCTTCCTCGCCATTTTTATCTGCACTGTCCGAGTTGTCGTCCACACGTGCAAGCAAGTTGGCTGTAGTCACTGGTTGCACTCCCTTATCATCAACCCTACCTAAACTTATCTCTTCTTCCATTTTTCCCAGTTCCTCACATTTCAGTCTCTCCTGCAATTTGACAACAACCTTTTGATCTTCTTAAATGTGATGGGTGCAAAAAGAATTGGGGAAAATTGCATTTTTAGTCCTGTCGCTTGATATAGTGAACTTAGCCCTCGTTTTCCAGTGTAATTGCTTTTAGTCCTTCAACTATCAGTTGTTAAGCGGTACTTGCAAGTTCCTCCTGTGGCATCTATTATGCGTAATTGTTACCAAAATGGTAGCTTTAGTAACTTATTAAATAAAGGGCATCTAACACTTCCTAACTGCTGATATTATTGGGGAAATCTAAAACTCCATCTCTGTTTATGTTTAGTTGCTCCGTAATTCTTTTTAGGAAGATTTCTAATACTTTCCATTCCATCTGTCAACTTTTATCTTACTTTCATGTTCTCTTATCTACTTTTCATATTTACTTTTCTAACTTTTGTTATTTTTTATCTACCCTTACGTATTTAAGTGTGGAGGATTGATCTCTTTGTTAACCGACCCCAAACTCTATTGGGACTAAGGCTTGGATGATGGTGTTGTTTATACTTTTATCTACCCGTTCCCTTTGTGTTTTCTACATTATTCACTATCTTTAGCTTTTTTCTGCACTATTAATAAGTGGGAGTACACATTTGTTAAAATAGGGCTATCATTGTTTTCCAACTAATCCACTCTTAAGAAGAATTATCAACTACTTTTATTCCACTTTAACCTAAATGGGTCCTTATTTTTTAGACATAACAATGATACAACAATTAGTGCTCACGATCTGATCATCTGAATTGTACACTTATTTCCATAATTTCTTATATTTCTCTGGTGATAAATCAAGGATTAGAATGAGGATATGACAACTACATGTGCTCACGACCTGAGTTGCACACCTATTTGTATAATTTCTTATACTTCTATTGGATGAGGGGGTATAAACTACCGCTTTGGTGATAACTCAAGGACTAAAATGAGAATATGCCAACAACCGAGGGACTTCATCTGCTATATTGCAATGACCGGAAGAAGAAAATGTCACTTTCACAAAAGAAGAACATACCACCTACTCTAGATATGGATAAGGGTTAAAAGAAATTACTACCATTGAAATAACAAAATAAATATGTACCGTGAGAGCCATATTTTCAAACTTCAGCTTCTCTGAGTTCTCCATTAATTTGTTTATCTCTGATTTAAGGTTTACGTTCTCAGCAGTTAGTAATTGGACACGCTTAGCTAACTCTTCAGTCTCTGCCTGAATGGAATTAATCCATGTAAAGTGAGTTGGAGAATTATTGTTGTAACTTGGAGGCTGCCTCTGAATAAGAAAAAGTACCTGTTTTCTCAATCTTGATCTCCTAGCAGATTCCCGGTTAGACTGTTTCCTCTTCTCACGCTTCAAATCACGCTCATTCTGATGCATAACATATATCATACATGAGCATTAAAAATCAGAAATATATCATACCGTATACCTTATACATTATACCAGAAACCAAAAGGAAAACAATTTGAAATATCTGTTACTTTAAAAAAGAAGATTTTCTCTTTTTGGTCCCATGACTATTAGGTCATTCCCTCTTTTGGTCTCCGCCTTCCATTAACTCAACTTTTGGTGAATGGTAACAAATTTATTTCCATGTTCGGTCATTTCCCGTCCCAACGCGGCGAAAATCAATAAGTTGGTTGGATAAGTCTTAGAATGACCAAATATTGGATATGTTGAAAGTTGGAGCCCATAGTGAGAATGACTTATAGCCATGGCCCATGGGATAAAAAGTGTAAATATTTTCCATTTAGTAAAGATCAACACAAAGGATTCATTTTGCTCGCAAAAGTATCATACCTGAGTCCAAGTTTCATTGGGCATGGCAGGGCCAAGTTGTGGAACATTAGTTGGGCTGACCTTATTAATAATTACGCTAGGAGTCACAGGCACAGTTGTTACTTTCTTAGATGGACCATTGAATCCCCGAGCGAGAGTTGGATAGCTATTAATGGTCTTATCAGCTGTCAGGAATTTTGAGGATCAATTACATTAAGCTCATAATGCAACTAGAATCAGCTAAACAATTTTTTCACTCCTACCTTTAGTTGGAGTTGTCTCCCTACTTCCTTTCTTCGAGTTTTCACACACCTGCGGAAAAAGTGTGAAAATGAACTTTTTCTCACCAGTACTATGTTGTTAAGGGATATACTCCCTCCGTCCCCCTATAATTGTCCCATTTTTTCATTTTTGGATGTCCCACTATTATTGTCTCATACCATATTTGGTAACATTTGTGTGGCTCTAGTTAATTCTTACTTTATTCCCACTTTATCAATTCATTATCAACCACATAATTCTACTTTTCTTAAAAACCACACCACTCCCTTCCGTACCAATATTAGGGGGACGGAGGGAGTAAAATAAATAATTATGATTCCTTCCCGCCAGGTAACTAATTTCCTCCAAAAACATGGAAAACCACTGACCATGGCTGCATTACTTCCATCACTGGACCCATCAGTTTCCATGCTGTTGATTGCAAACAATTACTAACATTAGTTTGAACTGATGGGCTGAGAAAATATACCCCAAAAAGTACCGAGCCACCAATGGATTTAATTGACAAACCTCTGGGAATTTGGATGGTCAGTTCCTCCCCTCCCACTGTCTGCATTGCTATTTCCAATAGACATTGCAAGCCCATCAAACCCTTTCAGTTTACTGATCAAACCCCGGTCTTCATTTCCAGAAGACTTACCAGATTTATCCAAATCAGTAGAAGTAGCAGCCTAAACGATAACACACAAAATGACAAATACAGTCAGCTAAACGCTAAGCACAGTATTAGTCTGTTTCTAAATAAACTTGAAAATAATGTGTATGTATGTATGTATGCACGATCTTACAGTTGCTTCATTAACAGCTCCAGATGGAGGAATGTCATGACCAGGTGCATGTGATCCCTAGAGATGAAGGATAACAGAATCAATTGGTCAACATATCAATATTAAGATTACATATTGAAATATATATATATATATATATATATATATATATATATATATTTCCATCATTTGCAATGGAGCCAAAGATTCATTATTTTTTGGCTTGAGATTATGATGGAATAAAGCAAAATGGCTCACTAAACTGTCTGCGCTTCTTTGTTATGGAGCAGCAGTCAGTCCATGCAATTTTGGACGCGATTTTCACTATGGGTCATCCGAAAACAGTCTCTTTGTGCTTTAGTACAGGGGTAAGACTGCGTACATCCGACCCCCCCTTACCCCACCGTAGGTGGGAGCCTTTGCGGCACTGGGGTAAATGAAAATGATATATATATATATATATATATATATATATATATATATATATATATATATATATATATATATATAATTGGGTGGGGATGCTCAATTGGGTGATAAGTTCAAAGTGTGCATATTCAAACTCATTATTGAAACATAATGTATGACAAACCTATGTGTAATATGTCTCTTAAATGTTTATATGTGGGACTCTGACCAGAAATGCATACTCACAATTGGAAAATGCATACTTACAATTGGAACTCCAGTGTGTGCATAAACTCCACTATGAGCATATATTGTTGCATATGGCGCCCCATAAGCCGGTGACATCATAGGCTACAGAAATTATACATCAATATTAAATTCATCGTGCATGCCAAACTCTTTTTGTCACAAGACAATATATATTCGGGGTTCAGTCATAATCCGAACCTAAAAGAACTCTTGAGGGACAAGGATGGCCCACAATTATAAAGAGCTTCATTCATTTAAAACAAAATTGCCACACTCGATAAGCTGGCTTAAATACCTGCGGTGCGCCCCACATGTATGGGTGAGGCGGGTGACCAGGTGGGACTGCTGGGTTGAAATATGGAGGTAAGGCAACTTGAGGGCCATAATAAGCCTGCAGATAACTATCCCATTACTAACTACAATCACTAAAACAACAAAGCGAAAGAATATGTGATGTGTTTAGCCCGGTGATATACCTGTAATGCTGCCCAATCCAGATACATGGGAGCGTTTCCATGGTCCTGTCAATAGTTACAGAAAAGTTAAAAAAAAAGCAAAATACATGGAAAATGCATATGATTGACATTCACATTAATAGTCAAGTTAATTAGGTTCTTGCAAGGGTGATCAGGTTGAAGGAAAAAATTTAAAATACATCAGTGGTATTATGTAACTTTCATAATTTCAACAAATATGACTTCTACATATGTAATTATTTTGCTTACCTGTGGGGATGGAGAAGACTTTTCGGGCTTAGGAGATTTCCTATCCTCACTGCTCCCCATGATCAATGGATCTATCTAATTATTCAAATGGATGATGAAGTTTCTTTCCCCCACCAATTACACAATGAGAACTAAGCTAAAGAATGTGTGTTTAGAAGCACATTGAGAGACTTCAAGCTGAAAAAGATGCATATATCAAATGAAACTCATTTTCAAAGCAAATAACTAAAGTTGAACATATAATGTGGACTACAATACGAGAAAAACACAAAGGATTAAACTATAATGTTATCCAATGTACAAAAGCGTACGGAGCTATCAGTTGATTCATGTTGATTCGTGTATGCTTGGCAGGAAGGTCACCCCATTTTGGAGTGTTCCATTGTCTGAGAGTTTAGCTATCGGTTAATTAGTGTATGTTTTGCAAAAAAGGCTTGTTTTATTTCGGATTGAAATGCAATAAACTCAACTGTTTATGAGCTTTAGAGCTGCTTAGGTGAAGGTTGAAGTGGGTTGAACTGAGGAAAATATAGAGGAGTTGAAAACCTGATGTTTCTAATTCTCAATTCAGCCCAATTATGACTTCTACCAAAGTGCTCTGAAGTGATCTAATAAAAACTCTTTTGTGGATTAACACCTATGTCCTTCACTCTTTTACAAATCCAAAGCCTGTTTGGTAACCCTATATTTGGGGCTTATTAGCCGATTATTTTTACCAAACGTGTAACTTTTGATTCCGTTGGCTGAATTGTGTAATAATAAAAAATAAGATCGAAGTTACTTTTGTTGCTCAATCGGCTAAAATGGTTGAAGATGACTAGTTTAGCTATATTTTCATACATAGTACGTATATTTTTATTTATCTTATGACTAAGTTATGTTTTAAATACAAATTTTCACAATTCAGATGCTTCCACCAAAAACTCATCAATTTCAGAGAAATTCAGCCGATTCAAAAGCTCTATCATTTTTCCATCAACCATTTCAGCCTATTTCATCAAAAAGGACTTGATTTATCCATATCACTAAAGTTTCGATTTCAACAACCCTAAATCCATCTCCAAACAGTATCTCACATTATCCATACCAGTACCTTCGGTTTCCGCTCATTTAGCTAAAAAGAATCAGAAAGTGCAACATCAGAATTCAATTTATATATTAAAAAACCTTAAATGAAATGCTTTTCTCATATCCTCCCACCATGAATCAGAAAGTGTGAAAAATGGCCAGAAGTCCTCGGTCCTAGGCTTGATCGATATATAGTTTAAAAACAGACAAATACGACACTATTCAACAACAGTCCGCTTTTCCGTGAAAAATACTCCGTAATTACTTGTCACTTTCTCGTAATTCGAGTACTGGGATACGGAGAACCAAAACTATAAAAGCAGAAATATTTTTAATTTTGACTGCAACCTTTTCCCTTTACATGAAAGTAATTAGATCCCGTCCTGACCTAGAAAATAAAAAATCAAAACTTTTTTAAATTGATAAACAGAAGTAACCGGGAAAAACGAGATGGCCCTTTCGGAGCGTAATTGTCCAATTACAGTTCCCAAGCCGGATAATAATCGGACAAACATGAACCTCATAGCTTTGAATATTTCCAGATTATAATTATAATTCACGTGATTGTCTAATCACCTAAATTGATGACTGTAAGTTTATAACTCCGCTTCCTCCTAATTGAAACGCTAACAAAAGCACACAAAAAAAAGCATAAATTTTACTAACAAAAGCACAAATATAAAAAGCATATATGCATGAATTTTAATTGATAATTTTACGAAATTCGCACGCGAAACCACGTACCGTAAAATCGAAGAGAATATCCGAATTGTCGAAACTAACTGTCGGAATTTTCCGTCCGAGAGATTTCTTTCAGAAGAAGAGCTCAGAAACTAGAGAATGGAGGAGGAAAATAGAAGTCTGTCTATTCATCATGGCCTTCTCAAAGAGGGAAGACAGAGCGACATCCACGTCACGGAACACGTGTAGGGGGAAACAATGTACGGTGTAGGGATAGTTGGATGGTGAGCTGGAACCTGGATAATCGTGCCAGCGGATTCAAACGTCAAATCTGCCGTACATGTGGCCGAGAGAAAGTCGATCTACGCGTCCCAGTTTTGGCGTATCATGGCCCACCGGTCACACAGATCATGTGGCTGACGTGGTCATATCTTGACTATTTATTTAAGGTGGAAAAAGATTGAAGCAAAATAAATTGAGGGATTAAACCACATTCTATATGATATTTCAAATCCGAATTTTCCTAGTCAATTTTAAATTAATTCCAACCCCACCCCCCACCCCCAAACAGCCCAACCCGCCCATCTCGCAGCCAGCCCAACGCCAAAAAAGAAAAAAATATTTGGGCCCAAATTGGGCCTGCCCTGCCCTGACCGGTTCACCATATGTGTAGCCCATAGCCCCGCCCATTTAAGCCACCTCTTCGGGTCTCGGGTAGGGCCAAATCGACCCAGTCAACCCCTAATTTGAACTAGTGGTTTTGGGTAGGATAAGACGCATCTCTCACGCTTCGCGCGAATAACTGGGAAGATTTATATTACACTTTAATAACAAACCGGTAGAGTGGGTGATGCTTTGGTTCAAGTACTTGTTCTTTATGGTATTCTCTTGAAGATGAGTCATTTCGTAACCCTTATTTTCTTGTTTTCATTTAACTTTTTTAGTAAAAACGTAAATTTTGAATTTGTGTGCTGAATTATGAAATAATTGAAATAAATAAGATTATAATTACTTTTTCCTTTAAATGGTTGGTATTATTATAGAAGACAATTTTAGCAATATTTTCGTGTAATGGTTTCTTAATTTTATTAATAAAATGTATTTAAAATATTTTTTTATAATTAATCAGATTCAGCCAATTCAATCACTTCACCTAAAAAATCATAAGTTTATGCAGATTCAGCCGAAACCAATGTAAATGTTACCAAATGGGCTCAATGGGTTAGATTTATATTTAGATCCCTGACTTGGACTAGTCCTTCTAAAACTGTACTCTTCATATTTTATTGTTTGCTACAATATGATGAGTTGACACAATATATAAGGGAAAATAGTATATGTAATGAACATTGTAGAAAATATAGGAGATGTGGTGAAAAACTGAGAAAGAGAATAAGAAAAAATAGAAAAAGTAAGAGTAATTGAGTATTTTGAAAAAAAACTTACCACGAAGGAAAAGTGTAGCAAACAAAAAAAAAAAATACTTCTCAAAAATGAAGTGCAACAAACAAAAAATCGGAGACAGTACATATTTATATATAATTTCATTTATTCCGGTATGTTTTCGGAGTTGATATTTATTTTGAGAAGTGGATAAAATATGATTCATATTCTGTTGATCCTTAAGGATCTAACTCATTTAAGTTAATGAGATATTACCCGAAATAGGACTAAAACAGTTTGAAAATTTCAAAATAGGATTGTCATGTTTTTATTCCCAAAATGAGACTAATTACTGTCATGTTTTGGCAATACCAGACTTCAAACATGGCAGTATTTTCTAAACATGGCAGTAATTAGTCATATTTTGGGAATACAAATCATGACAGTCCTATTTTGGAATTTTGAAACTGTTTTAGTCCTATCTCGGGAACTTTCCGTAAGTTAATTATCTATTTATCAATAATAAAAAGTTATACATACTGTCACGCCCCGGACCTACCAGACACGTCAACAATCCGCCGTACAGTACGATTTGTCAACCGCAGTTCAACACATTCATACTATACAAGGCGTCTGGAATATCATTCACACGTAGCACATCCATAAACAAACATAATGTGCATTATTCTTTAAAACAGCGGAAACAACATTACAAGTGTTCAAGCCACACTTGGCAAACATGGGTATACAAACCCCCGAAATGTATATTCAGAAAATAATATCCATGAGCATTATTCATATTGTTTTCAAAACAAGAACGGAAGAAGCACGAACCAAGTCTTCTTCTCAGAAACTTCCCGAAACAGCGGCTGGTAGTAGCAACCTTCAAGTTCTTCCTGAAACTGTGAGGTGGCCTCCCCCGTGAAGGGGAGGTCAGTACTTGGAAGCATTTGACAAGTACAATGACAACTATACTAAGTATAATCGAAGTTTAAATCTCTGAGGCCCTCAATCTAGAGCATTATTACATCATAGTTAATCCGTTCATTTAGTATCAATTCATCATTATTTACTACGGTCTAGAGCCCAGCTCATAATCACCGTTATCTACTACGGTCTAGAGCCCCGCTCATAATCACCGTCATCTAACACGGTCTAGAGCCCAGCTCATAATCACCGTCATCTACTACGGTATAGAGCCCAACCCATAATCACCGTCATCTACTACGGTCTAGAGCCCAGCCCGTAATCACCGTTATCTACATCGGTCTCGAGCCCGGCTCATAATCACCGATTCTTTATAATTCAAATTCTTAGGATCTAATTCATCCATTTCTCAACTAACATTTCCAACTAATATTTCAATGCTAGTTATTTATTTATTTCAATATAATTCTTCCTTCATGCATGATTGGCCTTAATATCAAATATCACTTTTATACTTTCATGGCTTCTCCTCATGGTATCAAAGTATACTATCTCAAATGAAATTCATGGTTGATACAACCATCATACACTCATATTCATAACATCTAAGCATACACAATTTATTCATAAATTTGTATATTATGCATACTATACTTATAATCAATAGTAGTTTTATTTAGGCATTATTAACCATTAACAACCCATGCACATCACATTTGTATTCACTTAGGAAATCCCATGAAATTAACCCAAAGATTATAAGCAACATAGTCGGTCATCCTCACCTTAATTAAGCTTAAGCGCGTTCTACGCTTCTCGATTGAACTTTGACTAATTTCGGCGAACTTTGACCAACTCCGGCGAACTTTGACCAACTCCGGCGAACTTTGACCAACTCCGACGAAACTCCGGCGAAGCTCAAAAATACTTTAAATCAAGTTCCTAACAAGGTTTTATCATCACAAAACCCATATCAACACAAATAACCTATAAAAGGTTATTTTCCGGCAAATCGGTCGCTTTGGCTTCTAAGTCCGTTCTTGGACATAGAACCACTTTCCAACCCATAAATCCATACTTAGAACATGGAGAACCATCCCAAGGGTTCTTCATATAATAAATATTCCTCATGGTAGAAGAAGAATAAAGGGAAAGCTATGGCAAGGTGATTACCTCAATTTTCCACACTTTCCTACACCTTTTTCCTTCTCCAAACACTCCTCTTTGGATCCTCTATCTTGAGCTCGAATTTGGGTGTGAAAATGATGAATTTCAGAGCTCCTCCTTGCTATCCTTGGGTGTTGCTACGAGTGGGTGGAGGTGGTGAGGTGAGAGGGGTGGTTTTTGTCTAATTTAGACAAATGAGTGAAGGGATGGGGTCTACTAAATGTCAAAGGGTGTCTCCCCCATCCTATCAATTGTTATTCAGCCAACTTAGCACTCATCCAGCCCACAAGGGTTGACAAATTCGTGGGGTGGCCCCCACCCATGTGGGAGGTCATCCTAATTTGTCCCAAAGTGTACAATTTGCCCTGAAAGTTGTATTTTCCGGACTGTTTTAGATATATTTTATTTTATCAGGTTAAATAAATATATTACGTGTTCTTAATCATTATAACATTTAGAATGAATATGCATTCCCCAACTTTAATTTATAAGTCTCCAAAATCCAATTTCGGGCTTTTATCTGATAAATTTATCGATACCGGTATTTGGGCCTCTATTGACCAATCGGTCAACTCTGGGCCTTTCCATGGCCCAAATAAAGTATCCACCATCCTATAAATATTTTCTAGACCCAGATGAATATAATATGTGGTCCCGATAATATCGGGCGGTCCCCACTCCCGATGTGGGCCCCACGTGCATTTTACTATTCACGCGAAAAAAAATTAATACAAATTCACAACCTCGTAAATTCACTAAAAATTTCATAAGGTTCAATAAATTATTCGCTTAAAGATAAATACATTTGGGGACGGTGTTACACATACAGCATGCATTCAAAGAATCTAATAGGTAATGTTAATACTTACTTTGTCTCATAAATAAGTTCTCATTTTATAAATAAGTTCTCATTTTGATTTCTCGTGTTAGATTGATGATAAAAAATTTTAATTTATGTTTAATACCCAGGTTATTATTAGTGATTATACTTAATATATTCAAAAAATACATTAAAATATTGTTCAATTGCAAAAGAAAAAACATAAAATTGATAAGCGTTAGATATTTTGAAAATAAATCGCATATATTGATTTAATAAAATATTGAACCTTACATGAGATCCACAATTCAACCCTTCTTTCTCACTAGACTCATAATAACCAAAGGTCTACTCACTCTCTATCACATAAAAAAAAGTTTACTCAAAATTGAGCAAAACTTTTCCCTGAACATGTGAAAGATTCGAAGCAATTATCGACATTAGAAATCTCAATACCTCCAAACTAAGTAAAAGTAGACATCACAAGACCGACACAAACACATGCAATCCAAAAAATGAGAGGAATTGTCAACAAAAATAAATATAAAACTTGAAACATAATTAAAGCAAAAATGACAGATAGACAAACCCCAACTTGAACCGTCATCACCCAAACTCTAGCAAATCGTTCACTTCTTCTACCGTTTGAAAATAAACGGATATGCCGCATTTTGGGAAGCATTTACAATCATCGCTTCTTCCACAACTGGTAGTCGCTCCAATTCAACTTTCTCTTTCAGAGGTAGCGGCCTTAATTAGAACATACAATCTCCCATCGGTGTCAGAGGTAGCGGCCTTAATTGTAGGAGATTTTGACGCATTGCACCTTGCTCAGATTAACAAAAAACACGAGGTTGCAAAATTTAAACAATACTAAAGACTCATATGATTTGAAGAGTTTTTCAGATTGGATTCCAGGAGTCAAAGACTCCAACGGCTAGCATTTCGGCAAACGCTCTTTGCGAGCATAGGAGATGGTGAACTCGAGGTACCAAATGATGGATGTGCGTCTGTACAGATTCAAGAAGATATTCTAATCAAGACTTCTGCAGATCCAATAGCTCAAATTGTGGAGATCACATACCCGGATTATCAAAACTCAATGTTGGATTTGAACTTCTTAAGAGATCGAGCTATTTTAGCACCAACTCTCAGTGTGGTGGATTCCGTTAACACTTATATGACAAATCTAAATACCAAGAAGTTGCAAAAACATATCTGAGACTCTTAGTTCAGACAGTGTATGCAAGTCAGACTCAAGTACAGATTTAATGACTGAGTTGCACACACCAGAGTACTTAAATAGTATTCGGCTTTCTGGTGTGCCAAATCACGAATTGACATTGAAAGTTGGCACGCCGGTCATGTTATTGCGCAATATAGACCACACAATGGGGTTCTGTAATGGAACAAGGCTTATAATAACAAGACTTAGTGAGCATATTCTCGAGGGGAAAATTCTGAATGGTATGAGTATTGGACAAACAGTTCTAATTCAAAGGCTTTCACTAACACCATCTGATGTGAGGTTACCATTCAAATTTAAAAGACGTCAATTTCCGATCATGATATCTTATGCAATGACTATAAACAAAAGTCAAGGCCAATCTCTTTCTCATGTTGGACTACTACTGAAAAAACTTGTCTTCTGTCATGGACAATTGTATGTATCTGTATCAAGGATCACTAATCGTAATGGTCTTAAAATTCTTATTCTAAACAATGATGAAGTGCAAACTAATGAGACCACAAATGATGTGTATAAAGAGGTGTTTCAAAATCTATAAGAAATTATTAAGTCTGTATATGACATATGTTAGTGTTACTTTGTAAATATTGTGCTACATATGTCATGCAAGCAATCAGTATGTAGTATGTACATAATTTACCTTTGATTTAATAATATTCAGATACGCAACAATTTAATTACTTTCTATATTCTTTCTCATTTTGTTTCAAATATAAATCACACACCTCATACAAATAATTAAATAAAATTTATACCGTGCATCGCACGGGTGAAATACTAGTTAAAGCAAAAACGGCAGATAGCCAAACCCCAACTTGAACCGTCATCATCCAAACTCTAGCAACTCGTTCACTTCTTCTGCCGTTTGAAAATTGAACGGATATGCTGCATTTTGGGAAGAATTTACAATCATCGCTTCTTTCGCAACTGGTAGTCGTTCGTACACTTGCTCCAGTTCGATTTTCTCTTTCCGGACGTGCTCCATACTTGTGTGCTGCTTCATCGGTCTAAAAAATTAGAAGATGACGCCCTTAAAAACTCTAGGACTAGCCTAGCACTTTCGTTGTGATGCTTTTGTCTGAGTGGATGTCAATTCATTTATTAAAATTAAATGTATAAAGTAAAACATTAAGAGCGATTTAAATTGAGCACACGAATGGTGAATGCATGATAACTTAATATCGAGATGGAGGTAGTATTAGTGTATAATAATAAAAAAATTAATTTAGTTTACAAATCAATACTCCTTGCGTCCCGGAAAGGTTCGCCAACTTGACTTTTGTTGATCAACGGCAATCAACATTGACCAATAATATTTTTTAATACAAAACTATTTTGAATTTGAAAATTATATCAAAATGTTCCTTGTCCAAAAAATATACATAAAAGTATAAAATCTATAAATTATAAACAAATATAATAATAAAAATCATTGTTAAAAGTTTGCCATCATTGACCAAGAAAAGTCAATATGGCAAAGGTAGCGGAAATATATGTAGGGGTGGGATCCGTCCGGTCCGGATCGGGTTTTTGCTAAACCCGGAAATTACCCGTAAGGTATCGGGTTATGAAAATTAGGGACTGGAACAAAGCCCACTATATTCGGTCCGAGTCGGGTTTTTTGTAGTCCGAGTTCGGTGCGGGTTCGAGTCGGGCCGGTTAAAGCCTGAATGTGAAATCACTCATTTTTCTTTTATATTTTAAAATCTATTTTCAAATAAAATTAATAAAAAGTACAAACCGCAAATAAAAATAATAAAAAGCACAAATATTATTCTCCAAAATCACCAATAATTCAAATCCAAAGAAGACAATTATCATAATATTTTGTTAAGATGCAAAAAATAAATAATATAAGTGTTTTAAAAATGTTATGAAATAAAATTTATGGATAAAAATGTGATTAAAGTTACTATGAATATGTTTTCATGGTCATCAAGGTAAATAAATTGAACATATTTGTAGTCACTAAAAATTATTAAGTCATTTTTTCGTCCATCATGATTATAATCATATATTAGGAATTAATTTATAAATTATATTGATATATTATATTGATTTTATATTAAAGCTAATTGTTTCGGGTTTTTATCGGTTCGGGCCGGATTATAGATTTAGAGTCCGTTAATGATCACGAAATTTCGGGTTCGATCCAGGTTTTTTTTATTCGGGCCGGTCCAAAAGAAAAAAACCGGACCGATATCATAATTTGGGCCGGGCCAGGGTCGGTTTACGGGTTTGGGTTTAGTTTTTCCCACCCCTAAATATATGGATAGAAAACAAGTCAATATTATTATACCCCATGTCCGAGTGAAAATGGATTGCGAAGATAGGGAACGGACCAACCGACCAATCAGGTAGCCGAAATATATGGATAGAAAATAAGAAGAGAAGAGTGAAATACATTCTTCCCCATTACATTTCTGGGAGAGCTGCTCTCTTTCTACTATCCACAGCCACGTCGACATAGGTCCCTACCCCGGTCTGATGGTTACCGCAGCTTCCACTTCCATGGCGGCGACAGCCGTCTTCAGCCCAAGACTCACCGCCTACTCCACCCCCATCAGCGGCTGTTCCTTTCCGTGCCTTCAACGACCGCCATTCTCCGTCACCGCTTTCCGTGCTTCCCTCAAACCAGCTGGTATTCTCCTCTTCCCTCCCTGAATTTTTCTATTTGAAGGGTTAAGAATTAAGAGGGGCTTGTAATGTATGTCCAATTTAAATAGCTTGCCGTTTTCTAGTTACTTGAGATTTGGTCTTTAATTCGGAATCTTTACAGCTAGTATGATGCTGCAATTCACATATACGTTCATAAAGTTGGAAACTTTTATTAAGGCTTGACTACTTGAGGTTCATTACTGGAAGGGCATAGTAAGAGTACACTTTTCCGGTTTCAATCTTTTATCAAATCTTGGGGTTCATTATAAATAGACATTGCATATAAAATTGCCAGTTTCACTAATATTGTGATTTAGTTTACCTGCACATAAGGACATATGTCTATCTTTATAAACTATGCATCATCAAGTATTCAGTGTTTAATTATATTAGTTGATATACTTATCACATTTCCTCTGATTTTCTTAAAGCAGAACACAGGAGGTCTTCTTGTATGCAGGTTAAAGCATCTTCACCCAAGGATACATCAAGTGCTATTGATCCTGAAGAATTGTTCACTGATCTAAAAGAAAAGGTGTAACCCTAAGCTACTACGTTGCCAGCTTAAATTTCTTGGCCCTCACTCATACTTTGCGATTTCTGCAACATTGCCATCTTAGGGTTTGTTTGGATGAATATAATGTTTGTAAAAAATGATTAATAGGTGATTGAAATGTTATATGGTCACATCTTATGTCAAAATTTCAATTTTAATAAAATATTAAATACGTAGTACTAGTAAGTTGTGGACTATGGCCTTGTTTGGAAATCTGTTATTAGGTGCTTGCTTTTATAAGCAAGTTGTCTTTTCAATTTGACAACGATGGTTTGTCTATATGATCATCTGGTTATGTCAGCTTGATGTAACTGCTTGGTAAATTAGTTTGATTTAAATAGGTGTTATGGAGTATGGACATATTTAAAGACTCATTTCATTTCATTTTCATTTACCCCAGTGCCGCAAAGGCTCCCACCTACGGTGGGGTAAGGGGGGGTCGGATGTACGCAGCCTTACCCCTGTACTAAAGCACAGAGAGACTGTTTCCGGATGACCCATAGTGAAAATCCCGTCCAAAATTGCATGGACTGACTGCTGCTTCATAACAAAGAAGCGCAGACAGTTTAGTGAGCCATTTTGCTTTATTCCATCATAATCTCAAGCCAAAAAATAATGAATCTTTGGCTCCATTGCAAAAAATAATCTCAAGCCATTTTAAATAATGGACATATTTAAAGACTATTTATATTAATTATTTTGTTAATGGTAAATTGGACAGTTTGTGACATAATAATGTTATAATTAAAATTACTTATAAAATACAAACTATTAATATGTTTGAAACTTTTAAAAATATTTTCTTTTAAAGGGCCGGGGGAAGCAAAGCGAGGACTTCCCATAAGGACATTAGTGTATTTTATGTGTTCTGATATTGGTAAAGCCTAATACTTATGTAGTTACAATTACTTATCGAATATAAATATTCTTAAATTTAAGACAATATATTGTAAAAGATAATAAATATAGTGGTCAAATCTGAAAGTTTAGCAGTTAAATTAGCAATTTAAATGGTGTTAACTATTTAAAAAGGGAAACTATTTAACACAAAGGTTAGCAATTTCACTAGTGAAATCACCTAAAAGTAGTCAAACCAGCCAAAAATGGCTAATAAGCCCTTTACTGAAACTCTCCAATACCTCCATCCAAATGGATTCTTTATGTTGAGATTTTTCTTTTCTTTCAAATTGAAATTTGAATCAGACACTACACTGGTACACTGGTGTTTTTTTTTCTGGTTTGTGTCTTTCAATTGATATCAAATTCATTTACATCCAACTCATTCTTCTTTCTGCAGTGGGATGGTCTAGAAAACAAGTCAACTGTACTTCTTTATGGAAGTGGAGCAATTTTTGCAGTATGGCTCTCTTCAGCAGTTGTGGGTGCCATCAACTCCGTTCCTGTGGTAGGCAGTCTTCTTTTTTCTTGCATAGTGTATTAGTTCTTTCCAATTTGTGGTAAAAGCAGTACTGGGATGGTATAATTGTTTTTGAATCCGTTATGTAGCCATTGTTTCATATGCCATATTATTTCTTCTTCAGCTGCCCAAAATTATGGAGTTGGTGGGGCTTGGATATTCCGGGTGGTTTGTCTACCGTTACCTTCTCTTCAAGGTATGTTTTGGTAGTCATTCGCATTACTTATTGACGGGCTCAGTCCAACCGGTCTGACTGTCCAGCTGCATCTTGGGCCAAGGCTGAGTCTGAGCCTAGGGCTTGTTCTTGGAGTCTGAAGTCATACCATATCAGTTTAGGCATTATGAGACTTATAGCACACTACTTGTTAGGTTGATTGTTATAGAATAGAATCTTGTCACACCTTAATACAATATGTATGCACATTATAGTGGGTGTTTGTGTTTGCTTATGTTGGTGAGAAGTGATTTATTTGAGAGATAAAAAGAAAGTGTTTAATTGCAAAAATTCATTGTAATAGAAAATAAAAATGGTCTTTCAAAAAGTAGAATATGGTAAAAGAGTATTTTTTTGTTTTGTTAGTTAAGGAAAATTTTATAGAAAAAGTGAAAAGCGGAGTTAAGCATTCTTCCTCTTACAGCTTTTAGCCTCGTGTTTAAAATTTAACAGAAACATATTTTGTATTTGAGGCTTTGAGCTATGTACTTTTAGCTTGTTTTAAGTTAAATAGCAAGAAATTGCTGCCTAAGTTCAAGCAAGCTCAGTCTAAGTAAGCCTAAAACAATCACACATACTGGCTTATAGGCAGAGCTCAACTCATTTCACAAACTATATATATAAAAGCTATACACAGAACATTCCAAACTCTAACTGGTTAGATGGGGATATTTTATCCTATTTGCAGTCCAATAGGAAAGAACTAGCAGAAGAGATTGAACAACTGAAGAAGAAGATATCAGGAACTGAATAGACAGTGGGTGAATGGGCCCCATAATCATTTCAAATTGGCCCGTGTTAATTTTTCTTGGATTATGTAAGAGGCTTATTCTTGTTTAAGGGTAACCTTGCAGAAAGCTTTTGTGTTAAACGTTCATCTTGATGTAAGATTCTGTAGTTTGTATTTAAGTTTACTCCATGTGTTTAAGGATCTACATTACCTGACGCTTCATCTGTTGTAAATACAGGGGGCTTCTTGTTTGATTTTCTGCGCCCAAATACAATCAAACTCATTAACTCACCACCTAAGCAGCTCTGAACCTCAAACTAACCTCAAACTTGTATTTATTTACCATTAAACCAGAAAAGCAGATAGAAGCAGGGTAGAAGGTGCTTCCAGCTTTTACCCTATAATCATTTTTTTTTGAAGCTGAATTTTCCTTTTGCAAACACTCCAAATAGCTTTTTTAATAAAAAACCTAAAATTGCTTTTGAAAAGCAATGGAAAACACTGCCTTAGTTTCTTTTATGAGTGTTCTCAATGATTTTTAATGAGGTGTTTTCTTCATTAATATTTGGGACATACTGACATTACTGTTTTAACATTGATGATGTAATAATAGTCTAATGAGTATAAATTTTCATATTTTTTATTTGTGGGTATGTGGCAAAGTCAATGAAAAATATAAGGGCACACAATTGCATATACGTAGTATACATTAGGAAATATACATACTTTATGGAGAAAATATTTATAGTAGGACTTTAAACGTTAAACTTAGCGTTATAATCAAAAGTTGCTCTAAATCCCTGATATGCACTAATTAGTAGTGCATAAATGTATATTTTTATGATTGATTTTTGTGTATTGTTTACCGTTTTATTTAGTTTGTAAACATTTGTGTGAATTTAGTTGTAATTGTATTTTAATATCCATTTATTAGTTGTAAAGTAGAATTAGGAATTATGGTGTTGAAAAGGAGGACTTTGAAGTGAAGAAAAAGGAGATTGGACTATCCAGGAGCTGAAACCCGACCGGGTAGAAGACTTCACCCGGTCGGGTCTGATTTAACAGACGAAATTTCTTGGAAAATCACTAGACCCGGTCGGGTCCACTACCTCACCCGGTCGGGTGAGAAGTGACCGGGGACAATCCGGCGTGCGAAGATCACCAGAACGTGGCAAATATTTGATTTTGACTGATACCCGGTCGGGTATGGCACTTTACCCGGTCGGGTATCCGCCCCAAGGTGTTGAAAACACCTATAAATAGCACACTTTTCCTTCACTTTTAATCATCCCTTCTTCCATACTCCTAAGCTCAGTTTAGAATATCATTTCTTATATTTTTATAGCATGTTTAGTCTCCAAATGAGGAGCTAAACTTCCATTTCTTGGTGTTGCTCTTGAAGCTTGTTGATTATTAAAGTTGTGAGTTATTTTCTTAACATCTTCCCCTGAATATTAATTATTCGTTCTTTCCTTAATACTATCTCTATATTAATGTTGGGGAGTGTTGCTAAGATGACAATTAGTTAACATTTTGACATTAGTTAGAGTAGTATTTTCTTCCTCTATATTAATGTTGGGGAGTGTTGCTAAGATGACAATTAGTTAACATCTCAATATTAATTATAGTAGGATTCATCTTCTTTAATAATATTCTTCCTTGAATATTAATTAATTCCTACTCATATTTCATATTAATATTTTGAACATTACTTAAAGGATTAACTAGTTTTGTTTCATATATTAATTATTACTAGAAACGATCAACGAACCGATGGTTAATCGTTGATGGTTTCACAAGTGAGTAACTTCGGTTTATTAATGCACGGTCGTGGTTAATAAACATAAGAGGGATTAATTTTGTTGGTTAAACCGAAACCGTTGTGTTGAGGTTATCAATCTCAATTGATTTCATCAAGGAGTTTAGAAAGATTAAATGCTACTATTAAATCGGTATAAGGCATTGTTCTATATTTGATTAATAGTAAGAGTTATTAATGAACGGTCATTGTTAATAACTACCCTCGATGAAGTGGATATACTTCCCGATTGAGTATTCGAGAGGGAATAAGTTATAGATATAACAATGATCGACTAAAATATATCAATGAGTGGAAAGTAGCAATGCCAAGTCCTTTTTATCTTTGAATTAAATCTCATACAAGTCGTTCATCTTAGTTTTTAATTAAATTAAATCACTCAATCCAAATCCCCCTTTATTTACTAAATTTCATAAAAAGAAAAGTATTCTTTTCCCTGTGGATACGAACTCTACTACGTTATACTACGTATTAGTGTTAGTATTGAATTTATTTTGACGCACCGTGACAAAGTTCTCGTCAATCCCTAATCAATATGATGTTATCTGCTTAATTTTCAGCCTTCACCTAATCACACAAAATTAAGCGTCTTATATTTTGTGTGATTAGGAGAAGGTTGAAAATTTATTTTATGAGATAAATTTTATGAATTTTAGCTTGTCCCGTTGAATTCATCTCATATCATATTTGATAACATTTTGATGATTGAAATTCATTTTTAATTTATTACACTTTACTAATTTAATATCAATCATTCAACTTTACTTTTTTAATAAGTAGAGTATTGCACCACTCCCCCTTGTCTCAATCTTAAAGGGGGGAGTAGTAAGTTAAAATTTGAGAAAAGATGAAAAGTGGAAGTAGTAGAAAAGAGATAATGGAAAGTAAGAATATTTATGATGGAGTATATGGGTCTGAGCCCCCGGACCCACATACTCGGAAGAACAGAAAGCACAAGACAACAGAGTGGCGCCCTCGTCGGCCAAGACGCCCCCGTCGGCCGAAAAGGGGCCAACTCGGATTATGGTCCTGAGTCTAAGGAACCCGGGTGCCCTCGTCGGCCGTGCCCTCGTCGGCCACGCCCTCGTCGGCCACGAAAACCTCCCAGAATCGGATTTTATTCATACTCATTTGTACAGCCCATTAGTGGCTTTGTATTCGGCCCAGTAGCGGTCCAGTTGTAAATGGGCCTCCCAAGCCCAAGGCTTGGGAGCCCAGCCCTAATTTTCTCTATAAATACTCTCTTTGGGAGTAGTTATAGGGGTTACAAATTCATTCTATTGGAGCATATTATTGCACTTCTCTCTCTAGCTCTCACTTCTCTCTAGATATACTCTATCATTTGGTGCTCTCGTTGAGAGCTAGAACAATCAAGTTAGCACCCTTCGTCGCTACCAAGCACAGCTAACCACTGATCATGGGGAGAACTAAGTCAAACCGCAACCTCGTCAGCAAAGCCATCCCTGAGGACCAAGAGCCCAGGGAGCACGATGAGGACGCCACGGCCGACCAGGCCGGCGGAGGGGACCTCTTCCAGGAGGCCTTCAACCTCACAACGGACCTCCGCAACCAACTCAACGGCGGAGCCCCTGATGCCCGCCTCGGCTTGGACAAGAAGCGAGCTGAGAAGACGGATCACGCCCCGGCCCAGCCTATGGCCGTGGCCTCTCCGTCCGTAGACCCACAGGTCCAGGCCGCGCTGTCGGCCATCCTCGCCAGCCTAGCTCAGAACCCCACCGTCCTCAGCGCACTCTTGCCAAGGACCGGGGGGAACGTCACTCAACCTCCTCAGCCCCAACCGTTGGCCGTCCAGATAGGCAACGATGAGGGGGTGGTGCCCCAGGACACAGCGTCGTCCCACTCCCACCCTGCTTCCCCTCTTCGGCCTGGGCAGACCCCAGCGCGTGGAAAAGCCTCTGCCTTCAATAGGCTAGGTGACACGCGCCGTCGTCCGGTTTCGGAGAGGATGGCGGGACGGATTGGTGATCCTCGTCCTGGCTCGCCAAGTAAAAGCTTGGGGTCTGTGTCCCGGACAGCGGACCAGCCCCGCCCGGACAAGGGCAAGGGAAACTTGCACGAGGATGACGTGCGTCACCAGATCAACGCGGCTCACAACGAGCGCATGAGGAACCAGCCGGGCGCAGCTGCGGCCGCCAGGGACCCCCGGGACGAGGTCATCGCCCAGCTGGAAAGGAGGCTGGCTCAGATGGAGGCCAAGCAGTCGGCCAACATCCCTACGGCCGGCGCCTCCAACGACCCCGGCCTCAACGCGCTCATGAACAAGGTTAGCACCCTGGAGAGGGAGCTGGCCGAGGGGCGAGGTGACCCCATCATCCAGGTCAGGACCAGGACCCCTTTCACCAACAGGGTCCTCTCGGCCCCCATTCCAGAGAAGTACAGGGGAAACGCCATCAAGTCCTACGACGGCCGATCAGACCCCCAGGAGCACTTCAGCCGTTATCAGAACAACATGCTGATGGTGAACGCGTCCGACGAATACCTCTGCCGTTGGTTCCTCTCTACTCTCGAGGGGCCAGCGTACGAGTGGTTCAACGCGCTCCCCGAAGGGAGCATCGACTCTTGGCAGGATCTCGCCCAGCGCTTCCTCACTCACTTTGCCGGGAGGAAGCGCGCGAAGAAGTATTTCACCCACCTCCTCTCCGTCAAGCAGCAGCACGAGGAGTCCCTCCGGTCATTCATCGATCGGTGGACGAGGGAAACCGAGGAGGTCGAGGGGGCCGATGAGCGCACCCTCCTCGCCTTGTATCAGGGAGCCCTCCGCAGCTCCCCGTACGCTAGGAGCCTCATCACCGGCCCCCCGAGGTCGTACGCCAAGGCGCTCCAGCGCGGAGGCTTGTATGCCGACGCCGACGAGCTCCACAATCACAAGAGAGAGGGGGACCATCCCTCCAAGAAGACAAATCCTTCGCCGGCCCCGGGTCCGTCCCCGGCCGGCCAGGGTGCCCAGGGCCGTCACGGCTCTGGTGGACAGAGTAAGAAGGATCGCCACTGGCGTCCGAGGTTGGAACGGCCGGGGGTAACCCTCACCCACCCGGTCGGCACCATCCTCGATTATGCCGAGAAGCACGGCCTTATCGAGCAGGCTCCTCGGCCGGCCGAGGAGATCCTTGCCATCCAGCAGGGCGGCACATACTGCCGGTTCCACAAGAACTCGTCGCACAACACCGATGATTGCATCACACTGAAGAAGGCCATCGAGCGCCTTATTCGCCAGGGGGAACTCTCCCAGTTTGTCAAGGGTGGACCACGCAAAAACACTTGGGTAAACACCGACAAACATGGGGGCGAACCCTCTGCGAAGAAGCGGGAGATTGGTAGGCTCAGCGACGACGAGGACTTCGAAGAGCCCCCGCCAAAGAAGAATCACATCCACCTCATCGTAGGTGGGAACACTGGGGGGGACTCCGCCACTCAGAGAAAGAAATGGGCCCAATCCCTTTACATTGGGGAGGTGTCCCACGTTCC